TCAAAGTCATCCTTGGCTACCTAGCAAGTTTAAGGTCTGTGCTGGATTTTCTAGAGAAAAGAGTATTTAGTTCACAGCTTGGAGGCTGCAAGTCCAAGGTGGGGCCATCTCATGTGTCTGGCTCATGGCTAGGGCCTTCTGGTTAGATTATAACCTGGTAGGTGGTATCACACAAAGGGAGCACATGCAAAGTCAGAGAAACATCCATGGAAGAGCTCACATGACAGGAGAGAAGAAAGAGCCTGGGGAGGGACCAGTCTCACTCTAACAACTTTTTCTCTTGAAAACGAATCCTCTCCTTGGAGAATCAATTCACTTGAGACCAGTGCTCAACCTTCCTAAAAGACGGTCATGATCCAGCCACTTTTACTAGGCTTCATTTCCTAAAGGCCCTACTAATTCAATACCGCTATGTTGAATTAAGCCTCAACATGACTTTTGGCAGGGGCAGCCCACATTCAAAGCATAGCACTATATGCCTTGTTTCCTGTTTGTTGATTTTTCCTATACTTTGAAACACAAGAAGGTACAAGGGTATGAGCCGATGTGACACAATGAAAAATCATAGCATAGTATGATAATGTTCTCGCATAGCCAGATTTCCTAACTATAGGCAGAGAAAATATGACCCTCCTGGCAGGAGGGGAAGATGTTCTAAAGAGAGACACTTGTGCCCCTCCCTTTGGCCCTCAAACTATTAAAACAATGGTCCCCAAAGAGCTGGATTTCCCCAGGAATCTCAAGTTGGGGGAAGGGAAAGGGTGCAGTTCTGATGCCAGAAGCACTCATCTTCCAGGAAGATTTCACACAACTCTGACAAACTGTCAACCATCTTGCAGGACAGACCGGAGTCTAGTCAAGGATGGGTCAGTGATGGTCAGGACCAGATCTTTTGCCGGCATACCTCTTGGGCCTGTATTTAATCCTAAACTTCAAGTCAGTACTCCCAAAATGGATTTGTCGGGGGGGGGGTGTCCACAGTTTCTCTTTATTTCTTCCTCTTCCCAATGTGGCCACATTGAATAAAACTCCTTTCTTTGTTTTCACTATTATTTGTCTCTTTCATTGGATTATTGAGGACAGGTGCCCGAGCCTATCTTGTCAGGGCTTCCAGAGCCTAAGACTCAGACCCTCAAAACTCCAGTGCCAATTTCAACATCTCCTGTTTCATGGGGTTGGTATCAGGGGAAAATGAGATTTGTCTATGTCAAGTACTGAGCACATAACTACGCCTTAACAGTTTCTTGTTATAGCTATTCATGTGTGACACACCCCCCTGGTCACCTCTTGTGGCACTCAGCTAGTTCTAGCACCACAACCATCTTTTTTCAGAAAAATATTTTGTTATTTTTATGTGTATGAGTGTATTGACTGCATTTATGTAAGTGTACCCATGTCATGCAGTGACTGTGGAGGTCAGAAGGTGTTGGATTCCCTGGAACTGGGGTTAAGACAGTTTTTGGCCACTATGTTGGTGCTGGGAATTGAACTCAGGTCCTCTGCAAGAGCAGCCAGTGCTCTTAACTGCTGAGCCATCTCTCCAGTCCTAGTAACCATCTTGTTACGAAACCAGGAACCCATCTTTGGCCCTACCTGTAATGTGCAAGTCCATCTCAAATTGCAGCACCTCTATCTGCTTCTAAGCAGCCTTGTATTTTGGGTTGCTATCTTCATCTTCCATGGCTTCCATTCTAAGGTTGGTTAATCATGACATGTAGCTTCTTGTGGGTACAGAAGGCACATAAAACAGAGAATCCAGAGCCACCATGAAGGTCTTCTTTAAGTGCCTGATGTTATTTGCTACAAATATTTCTTATACTGAAAGTTCTGTAAACTTGTTACCTTTTTCACAAGAGAAAGCTTGCAAAAGACTGACAGGTCAGGAGCATCATCAACAATAAACACAGAAACCAGGGCTTTTCTATCTTCAGTGAGAATCACAGAAAGTTTTGCTTGAATGAAAACCTTTAGAAAGCATTACAAATGTTTTCCACAATTGAAATCAATAGAAATAATAAAATCATAGGTCCTTAGTGAAATAAAGCTTAACAATCTATTTGGGATTCTAAACACTAACCTATTTACCAAGAGAACTGAATTACTCACCTCAAAATTTTATCCTATTAAAAACTGCACAAGGCCAGGTGTGGTGGCACATGCCTTTAATCCCAGAACTTGGGAGGCAGAGGCAGGTGGATCTTTGTGAGTTCAAGGCCAGCCTGGTCTACATAGTGAGTTCCAGGACAGCTGGGGCTACAGGAGACCCTGTCTCAAAAAAGACAAAAAAACCCAACAACAATAACAAAAAAACTGCACAGGGACCAGTGAGATGGCTCAGCAGGTAAAGATACCTACTGCCAAGCACGATGACCTGAGTTCAATCTCTGGGACCCACAGGATGGAAGGAGAGATTTGACTTCTGAAATTTGTCCCCTGACTTCCATGAGTGTCCCCCACCCACAAAATAAATAAATACATGTAAAAAAGTTTTAAAAATTATACATAAATAGCTTCTGACTAAAAACAGGGATAAAAGCAACAGAGGCAAGTTGGGAAGTATATTAACTTTATTTTGAATTGTAACATGGAATATGTGATCAAACAAAGAGACGTAATGACAAAATTTCATAGTTCAGTTAAACAGATGATTTGCATAGGAACTGTCAGTGTTTAGTCCTAGGGTGAAGAACAACAATTCCTATAATTGCTAATTATAGGAATACAAAGTAAGAGTCATTTACATGTGTGCATACTGAAATGCAATTTCTGAGATAACAGATCTCTTGTTTAGTCTTTGGTAGGTGATTGGTCAGTTTCCCTGCCATGGATAATACAGTCTCATCTAGATCAAATGCTAATCCAGACCCCTGCTATCTATAGTAAGGTCTTATAGTAAGGTCTTCCTTAAGTATTGCTAGAGCTACTGAATTCATTCCTATGACCCAAATATAGTTCAGATAAGGGATTAGCCAAAGACAGCATGCTGTAGTCAGAAACACTAAGTCTGTGCTATTGTCTCTTGGTACTTTGTTATCAGTACCCACAATACTGTTTTGTTTTGGATCAGTGATGAGCAACTATTTTGACATAGGGCTAAATGAAAGAAAGCATCTAAAGCATTAAGGCCATGTCATTTTCTTCTTCAAGAAAAATATAGATTTTCAAGATTCCCATACAGAAAATGTATCTTTGTATATAAGTTGCCTGAACAAAAGGCCGTAAATGAGGAAATTGGCACTGCTCTATAGCCATCAAAATATTTATGTCTGGTGTCTTGGCAACACCAACAATCTTTTTTTTTTTTTTGGTCTTTTTGAGACAGGGTCTCCCTGTAGCCCCAGCTGTCCTGGAACTCATTATGTAGACCAGTCTGGCCTTGAACTCATAGAGATCTGCCTGCCTCTGCCTCCCAAGTGCTGGGATTAAAGGCGTGAGCCAACACCAACAATCTTTTATCTTGAAATTAGACTAAGGAGCGTTTGCAGAGCTTTGCAGGCTTTGTACTTCTCTGAGAGCTGTGGGTTGTTCATTATTGGCTGTTAGTGACATTGACCCAAATGAATTAATTTTGATTACATTTATTATAAACAATTTTAAGAGAGTATCTACTAATTTCAAAAATTATAATCTGCCATTTACTGACTTAAAGATAATGCTTGAGGTACCACTTCATGTTAGTTAAGCAAAACTCATTTTAGGATTACATTTCTCTCCATCATAACATGACTTCATATGTAGATCATTGATTGGAAGCAGACTGGAACATGAGCAGATGGCAGATTATAGAAAGAATGCTTGATTTCTGTGTGTGCAGTTAGGCACTGGCAGAGGCAGTTAGACACCACTGATCATAACATGCATTCAATATAAATTTTAGAACCCCTCAAAGAAACAGTGCAGTAAATTCAGGGTTCTTCTTTGGAATCAGTCAACCCATGAACATGCATGGACAAGTACTTATTAAATACTATTTATATGCCTTCAATAGTAATAGCAACACACTGTGTGGGGCTGGAGAGATGGCTCAGCAGTTTAGAACACTTGCTGTTCTTCCAGAGGACCTGGGTTTGATTCCCAGCACCCACATGGTGGCTAATAACTATCCATAACTCTAGTTCCAGGGTCTCCAACTCACTCTTCTGGCCTCTGCAGGCATTGCACGCATGTGGTGCATTTACATACATGCAATCAAAACACATAAAATAAAAATAATAAAATAGTAATAGTAATATACTGTACTGGTGTATATCACATTTTGTCCAATGAACTCAGTCACTGTATCAAGAGATGTGGTTCTGAAAGTGGAAGATTTCACAGCACATTATGTCTATTCACTTGTGACATGGGAAATAGATTCCTGACAATATAACCAGCATAGAAGCTCAAAGAGACTTGTGGTTTGTAGGTTTCAGGGTTTCTAAAGTTACCACTGGTTTCCTCATGTATAATGAGACTAAAGGGAAATGATTTGACATGTCAGGAATAAGATGAGGCTTAACTAATACATAGACAGTTTATCTTTTTAATACTTCAATGGTCTCTCTTTGAGTAGCACACAGTAGAATGTCAGAAATGTTTTTAAAAATATTGTACTTATTATTTTTATTTTATGTGTATGAATGTATTTCCTGCATGTTTGTTTTTTTTTTTGCTTTTTTGGTGTTTTGGGGACAGGGTCTCCCTGTAGCCCCAGCTGTCCTGGAACTCACTATGCAGATCAGGCTGACCTTGAACTCAAAGAGATCCGCCAGCCTCTGCCTCCCAAGTGCTGGGATTAAAGGCGTGCCCCACCACGCCTGGCTTTGCCTGCATGTTAAGTGCACCTGTGTCATGCAATGCCCACAAAAGTCAGAAGAGGGCATTTGATCTGGAACTGGAGTTATGGGGTGTTGTTAGCAATGTGGGTGCTAAGAACTGAACCCAGGTCCTCTGCAAGAGCAGCTAGTGCTCTTAACCACTGAACCATCTCTCCAGCTCCCAGAAGTGGTTTTTAAATCATGTATACCCATGTATCATTGATTCACAATAACCATGGATATGGTGTTTTACACTAAAGGGACATACATATATTTATGGATGTCACATATTTTAGCATAGCTACATTTAATGCCAAAGCAAAAATGCATTACTTCACTGAAGCTCAATCTTTCACTCTTAAAGGACAAAGCTTTCTGTCTTCTTGCTTAGCACTGAAAACTGTGCCTAACTTCAAGTTTAACCGAGGGACCCAACTTAGCACAGTTAAAAATGAATTTCTGTGGAATCTGAATATGCCTGGCCACTGAGGGCTGAGTTATAGGGCAGTGTAAGAAGCCCACTGTGAGAGGAAGGGGACCCTAAGCCCTTCCTTTTCTGCATGGTGCACAGGCCTATGTCAGGGACCCACAGGGCAGACATTCTGGGCATATTCTTCCTTAAAAGAATTCCCAAAACTGTTAAAAACAATTTCTTTTTGAACAATATAGTTTAAAATTTTATCTAAGATCAGACTAAGTTAGTTTTTCCTGTGTCCTTCTTTACTTCGGAGGAGATGCAATATACGTTCATTTTTGGTTAGTTCTGCTGGAAGTTCATTTGCCTGAAAGAAGATGAAATAGGCATTAGTGAATTCCCTAGTTGGTGTGGTTGCAGGAACTCAAAGGGGGTGTGTGACCCATTCGCTTGCCCTTCACTAATGGAAAATCTCCACTGGACTCAGACTCACCCTTTATATTAGGCAACCTCGGGCTCCTTGAAATGTACAAAAGTCACCCACCGTTTGCTCACCTCAGTGTTTACTTCTGGCCAGCCAGATCTTTACCAGGCTGGAAGATCCTGGAGACCTGCGTCTTATAAATCATCATGCCCTCCTTTTCCACTGCCTACCAGGTCTAATACCTGCTCAGTACATACAGGTATTTGCTCTTATATTTAGCTAGCACATGAAGGAGTCTGTTCAATAGGAACTTGGGACTCAAGGACAGGGATAGTTTTCCTTCCACATTCTAGTTTATTATTATTTTTATATGTTTTTTCTAATTTTAAAATTACATTTCTCTTTGTCATCTGTCTCTCAGTATGTGTATACACATGTGTAAACATGCCATACTGTATGTGCAGAGAAGCTGCTTTTCTCTTTCCACCAGTAAGTCCTGGGGATTGAAGTCTGATCATTAGGCTTGGTGGCAAGTGCCTTTACCCACTGAGCCATCTCACTAGCCCCCTATTATTTTTATTTGTACATATTTGTGGGGTATAATATGATTTATACGTAGATAAGGACTGTGATGATCAAATCAGAGTGCCTAGCATTTGTTTCATTAAACAGTTTATCACTTTGCATAGGAAGCTTCAAATGCCTCACTTTGAGTTTTTTATAAAATACACAATAAATTGCTGTAAATCATGTCACCTGCTGTGTGCTGTAGAACGCTAGAATTTACTCTATCTGATTGTATATTGGTACTTGTTATCTGACCTGCTTGGAGAGTCATCTCCCTCCCCTTCCTCACGCTCCCTAGACCATATTCTTTACTCTCTACTTCTGTGAGATGAACCTTTTAGCTTTCACATATAAGTAAGAGCATGTAGTGTTAATATGCTATGAGGAGAAGCAGGGCTAGGATGCACAGAGGGCATAAAAGACATCCAGGAAGGAGCAGCTTCTGGGCTATAGCTTTCCCCCAGACTCTGTAAGGCATCACTGTGTCATTTGCTGAGATGCATTCTGTAAGCATTTAGGGAGCCAGCTCTTCCCATAAGGCACTATGTGGTATAGGGGAATAGTTCTGGAACTTTCATGGTCTCAGAACCCTACACAGTCTTAAATATTATGAAGCACCCTAATGACTTTTTGTTTTTAACTCAGAAATAAAAAAATTGGAAAAGGATATTTTCTATATTTACTAAAAAATTATTCACTGCGGATTAGTTTACAACATATTTTTGACAAAACTACATTTTCAGAAACAAAAAAATTAGAAATTAGGAATGTCGTTTGCTTAACAGTCTTTCATATTTCTTCAATTTGGGGCTTAACAGAGGACAGCTGGATTCTTTTATCGACTTCTGCTTCAGGCTATGGTGATGTCTTAGCTGAAGCACATGATGGAAATTCAGCCTCACACAGATATGTCCTTGCAAAAGGGGAGGGGCATTTCAACATCCGTACAGATCCCTGCAGTCTTCCTCGGTAATTGCCGGGAAGTTCCTTTTCTTCTCCTCCTCCTTTCCTTCCTCCTCACCTCTCTCTCCTGTTCTCCTCTTTCCTGTCTCCTCTCTCCTCCTGCCATTTAGCAACTTCCTGCTGGAAGGAAGTTCATTAAAACTCAGGAATTTCTAAAGTTCTTATTCCTTAAGACTCAGGAAGTAAATAACTCAAAAGTCTCAGGACTCCCTCAAACTCAGCAGAAGTGCAAGGCCCCTCTCCCAGGCCTATGTGAACACTAAGAACTGCCGAAGAGAAGAGCCTCTCCAATCAGAGCAGACAGCTCCAGGCTTCTGGCTGTCACGAATCATCCCCCATACTAGGGTTAGGGTGGGCTTTCATTGATCAGCTGCCTTTGAGCTGTCCATGTTCCTACACGTGACCCCTCACCCACACGCCTGTAAGTAGCCTCAGTAGACTCACTGGCTCATCATTGAACTTTAGTGGTATCACTACTTTGGTCTGTTGTCTGTTCCCTCTGGGGTCAGCAGACATTTTACAGGTGTCCCCAGGAACATTGTCACACAACACCAGTCCTTCCTGCCTCTCTCCCTCCACTCCCCTTATTTCTTTTCCTCTTCTTTCTGTAGTTTTGTGAGAAGCTATTTAGGTCAGGCATGGGATTTACAATCCTCCTGTTTCAGCCAGCTGAGTACTGAGATTGCAGGCTTGTGCCACCAGGCCAGGTTAAGATGTAGTTTCTAATTAATTTCAACCTGGGATCTGAAGGCATATCTGTTACATGACAAGCATGAGCTGTAACATTTAGAAAATAGTAGCTCACTGAGCTGTGTAGGCCATGCAAATATTGACACATTTCATTGTGCTAGCAAAAGGTCACATTCACGAACATTACTACCAGTTCATTAGAAAAGACCTTCTGGACTGGTAAATTATTAAGCTCCAAGTGGTGAATGTTCTTTAAAATAAAAATGGGACCAGTGAGATGGCTCAGTGAGGAGAAAAGCTTGTGTGTAGGCCTGATAATCCCAGTTCAATACATGAATCCTACAAAGTGACAGCAGAGAATGGACTCCAAAAAATTGTCTTCTGACCTACACATACACGCACACACATGCACGCACGCACACAGGTACATGCATGCCTGCACTCACACATGCATACTCATGCACAAAATAAATAACTCAAATTAAAATGGTGATTTTTATGAAAAAAGTGGTTGTTTTCTCCTGCAATTTAAACAACTTCCCAGTTTTCTCGGGAGACAATCACTTCATTCAGTACACAGCATCTTGCCTTACTTCTTACTGTTTCACAGAAAATACTAAAAAAGATACGTAGCAACAGTCAAAGTTTAACAAATGTAGTAATTTACTGCTCTTTTAATTAAAGCAACTGATAAAACTTATAAAACAACTTACAAAGGATTATAAAATGCTTTGCCAATACAAACCCTTGGCTCTGCTTTACTGTATACTAAGACCCAACCATTCTACACACTATTGGTATTACACCACTTAATGCCAATGCCAAAATGGCAAAAAGGGTAGATAATGTCTTTGCATTATTGAGAATATTATTTTGACCTCTTAGCACCACCCCCCATCTCCAACAAGTCTTGAAGACTCTGAGGATCCATGGATTACACTTCGGGGAGTGTAACAGTTATTCTGGGGCCAGGCCATTAAAGGGTAAAAGGCACATGGAAATGGCTTGGATGAAGATGTTACCTGCCTCACATATTTCCTCTCCTGCAGCCAATCCTGGCACCTGTTGCTTTGTCTGGACCTCGATTGTCCTGTCCCCACCTTCTAGGCTGGATCCTATTCTTTGACTCCCACCCCCCACTGGCTGGGCCCTCACTTCCTGGGAAGTGTGAGCTTTCCACCGAGGTTGCTATATATCATGTTTGGTAGCTGTATTCCTTCCCACCACAAAAGGCTCTTGATGTCCTTATGGAACAGATCAGAGAGGAAAGTGTCATACTACTGCCACCATAGCCCAGTGTCCCCTCCATGGGGCCCAAGTCTGCTATTAGCTTAGTTCCACAGGAGCAGATATTGCACATACCAACATCTGGGTCTGCAGAGAAATGCTCTTGGTAAACAGACCCAGGCTTTATTCAGACTCAGGGTAAACACTCAGGGATATTTCAGTTATTTGTATCAGTCACTGGTCCATGGTAAGCAGCTGAAAGCAGCCAGAGAAGCCACTACAGTCAGGAAGAGGGAGCTCAGGAGTTATCCCTCTGTCTACCAGCTTGCTGACTAGCATGCATATGTGGCTGTCTACATGCATATCCATATCCTTTGCAGGAGCTGTAGAAACAGTTCAGTCAGTAAAGTGTTTGCCAAACAAGCATGAGGACCTCAGTTTCATCCCCAGAACCTACATTTAAAAAGCCAGCTGTGGTGGCACATGCTTGTAATACCAGCACTGCGGAGGTGGAGATACCTAGGGGCTTGTGAGATGGCCAGACTAGCCTAACCGGTGACCTGCAGACCAAATGGAAGATGTGGTCTCACAAAACAAGGTGGAGGCTCCTGAGGTTGACCTCCAGCCTTCACATGTGTGCACGTATGCACACGAACATGCACACACACATGCATATGTATATATATTTGTATGTTCATACACACAGATGCACACACACACACAGCACCCAATAAAATGACCTTTATACCCTCACATATAACTGTTGAATTTTGTTTGCATCATCATTCTATGTCATCTATGCAGTTCTAAGCTGGTATCAATCCTCTTCTGATTGGTCTTAACTGAATTCTAAGATTTGGGGGGGAGGCTATGTGGAGGGTTATTATTAGTGCCCCAGGGTAACCCCAATAACTATCTTATGACTATGGAGCAGCACAGAGGTCTGTTGTTCAGATATTACACCATCAAACTGCTATACTTTCTCATTGTTCCTGGGAGACAAATATGTTTTCAGTGCTCAGTTAGGAATGTTGACCTCTGCCATCTATATCGATGGCTGTAGTGGGGGGACTGGCTCTCGGGTCATTGATTAGTCCTCTCCTCAGATATCTGATTTGAAATCCCTGGGATCTATGGAACAGAAGTGTGCTTCCATATTAGCCTAGATATCACTTTCTCTGCCAAACCTGCATATAGCTCGTGCCATTCTGTATTGCAACTGCTTTTTCAATTTCCCTTATTCCCGCTTTGAACTCTCAGCTCCGTGAGAGCAGACACTGTGTCTCTCATTCACTACTGTATCCCAGCATACAGCCCAGTGCATGTTATCTAGCAGGTGTTCAACAGAGGTTTGTTGAATGAATGAAGGCCAAAAATCCCTTTCCAAAGCTGGGCATTGTGATGCCCAACACTTGGGAGATAGACACAGGAGGATCAGGAATTCAAGGCCAGCCTTGAAGCAACAACAGCAGCAATGGTAACCACAAAATCCTTTTCAGGAGTTCTGGGTTTGCTGCTAGAATCCCAACACTCCTGTGTCTGGTGCTGCCATGCAAGCTTTTCTGGGGTGTTGGTAGGCAGATGAGGGTTTCCCTGGCAGTAATTCCCAGAACTACAGGGCTTGCTGCAGTATGACCCTCCACATACATTTAAGTCCTTTTAGGAAGGATCAAAACCCAGCATTTTGCCCACTGGAAATTACTAATGACTATTATCACTGGTGATATTCCATCAAGGAGACACATGAGGAGCTACATGTTTCAATTTCTATATCAAGTTATTAATGGCGTGGTGTCTCTTCCCTTAACATAGTCCTGGATAGCTCGCCACGAAATCCTGAGCTCTTTAGGAGTTCTGTGTACAAAGTCTAGAGATAAGATAAAAAAGAAAGGCAACTATGTCTTCAACTGGCTTATCACCCAGCCAGGGCCAGCTCATGTAGAACAAATCTAGGTATCTGAGAGGAGACAGGCAAATGCTAGCAGAAATGTTATCTGCAAGCAGTTCAACGCCAGGAATAGGGAAATAGAACTTCGATATACAAGGTAAAATGAAAATGTGAGCCTTGGCTTGGCATGTGGGTCCTATGGCACTTCAAAGGTTGTGTGTGTTGTATGTGCACATGTGTGTACAGGTGCATGTGCCTGTATGTACATGGGAGGTAGAAGAGGACACTAGCTCTCCTCTATTCCTTTCTGCCTTATTCCTTTGAGGAAAGTTCTCTCCCTGAACCTGGAGCTTATGGTTTTGGCTAAGCTGGCAGCCAACAAGCCCAAGCAATTCTTCTCCACCTCCCGCAGTGCTGGGGTTACAGACATATGCAAGACCACATCTGGTTTATTACTTGGGTGCTAAGATCGGAACTCAGGTCCTCATGGTTATACAGCAAGCACTCTTAACCACTGACCCACCTCTCCAGCCCTGATGTCTAGTTTTAATTGTCAACTTGACACAATCTGGAATCACCTTTGAAGAGAGTGTCAGTGAGGACTGCCTAGATTGGGTTGGTCTGTGGGCATGCCTGTGAGGGATTAGTGTCTTAATTAGCTTAAATTAGGTGGGAAGACTCACCTCACTGGTTGTTTAAGAGTTTAGAAAGGGATCTGAGTACTAAGCACACTTGCATTATTTCTCTCTGCTCTTGACTATGGATGTGCTTACGTTTAGTGGGAGATCCTGTTTCAAGGGACTAAAGTGAGAGTGACAGAGTGAGACACCTGATATTCCCCTCTGGCTTGCATGCATGTGCACAGGTGAGTGCATGTGCACACGTGTGCGTATACCACACACACAAACCTCCCACACTCACATTTTTAAAAGTTGGCAGTTTGGCGACTCCATCCTCCCCCAATCTTTACATGATCCTTCAGCAGACATTAAGTAAGAGGAAGTACACTGACAATCAATTTTTCTACTGCTATTGCAAACTCTGACTTCCAAGTAACTGTAAAATAAGGATTTAAGAAAATAAAAATATGGGGTGGTTTTTCTAACAGTGACATGTAATGCTACTGACAAAATCAAGCATATTTTCTGCATGGAGTCACCAAACATACACAAGTAATTCTCAAGATAGAAACATTCTGATAGCATTTTTAGGGCACATCTCTAATAGCAGAACAGTACTTACTCCCCATAATGACTGCCTCCTTCCCCCAACCAGGAAGCCACACCACTGTTGGCAGAAAGCATTGATGATAAAGGGATTTTAGCACAATTCCCTGAGTGCAAATGCTTTGTCCAGGAATAACTCCTAACAGCAGCTCTGCATACCCTACTGTGTACAACTGTAAAGATAGCAACTAGAGCCTGAGAGATGCTTGACCTGCCTTAGGAAGATATGGTCTCTGTGCACAGGGGTCCAGTGTAGTTAAAAGACGGGTTAAGTGAATACCTTGTTTCTCAAGGCTGGATCTGCCCCTGCTTCCAGGAGCAGTGCAACTGTTTTAATATTCCCGCTGAGCACTGCTGCGTGGAGAGCCGAAGTCCCATTCTAAGAGAAAATGAGAGTGTGTCAGGAGTTGAGCTCAGTCCTTAGCATGGCTTTCATCATAAACCATCTCGCATGATGAGATGGAGCATCACAGTCTTACTTATCTTGTTTTGAAGTTTTCGGTTATATCAGCATCTACTACAGTGTCTTCAGCCACAGCCCAAGGCCAATAAACACTGATAACATTCTTCTGCAAGTGAAACAAGGAACTAGTGGAAAAGCCAGCAATGCTGTGCCAGTCTTTGCTCTTGAAGGGCCACACATACAGTCTTTGCCCTTTTGGTGAATCACTTCCACAGGGTCTGAGGAACAGCTCACTGGCCAATGGGCCCATCTAGAGCCCAGCTGCAGACATTCCACCCACTTGGGCAGACAGAAGTGACTATGGGGTCACAGGGCTTAAGAGGAAGAGTCTGCCCCAGAGTCCTGAATTGGTTTTGAGCCCAGAAAGACATAGATAAGTTACTGATATTGAAATATAGTACAAATATTTATTGAAATCAAGGAGTAGCTAAAGGTAGCATGTGGCTAGATCTGGAAGGGCAAGGAGAAGACACTATACCGAAGCCCATGGAAGAAAGAGGCCTAATCACAGGACTCGGTTCCAGCAGGCACAAATACCTATAAATTGTACCCAAATGCTTGATTTTCCAACTGATGACTCCTAACAAAAACCACCATGATAAAAGTAAAATATAGGGGCTAGAGAGATGGCTCAGCGGTTAAGAGCACTGACTGCTCTTGCAGAGGACCGGGGTTCGATTCCCAGCACCCACATGGCGGCTACAAACCATCCTTAACTCCAGTTCCAGGGGAATCCAAAGCCCTCTTCTGACTCTGCAGTATTGCATGACACAGGTACATTCACATACATGCAGGCAATATACTCATACACATAAAATAAAAATAATAAATAAAATATTTTAATAAAAAAAATAAAATACCAACCTGGGCATGGTGGCGCATGCCTGTAGTCCCAGCACTTGGGAGGCAGAGGCAGGCAGATCTTTGTGAGTTCAAGGCCAGCCTGGTCTACATAGCGAGTTCCAGGACAGTTGGGGCTACAGGTCTCAAAACAAACAACAACAACAACAAGAAGCAAAATATCATAATCTAGAGAAAAATTCCAGCAAAGCAGCATTTTTCTCTGGCTCCTTTCATACCTAATTTGGTAATCTGGTATTATTTCAAATGTCTGAATCTTAACCAACACACATGAAATAGCTAGTAAAAAGGTTAAAAAAAGAGCTGCGTGAAACAAGACTGGATAGTGTAAAGTTCAATTCTAAAGCTCCTTTTTTGGGTTTCATTTTCATAGATATTTTTGTTTATGAACAATTTTAAGAAGTATAACTTTCTGACTTCCAAGTTCATGGAAGAGTAGAGGTACCTTATTGGGAGAGAGGACAGGGGCTAATATGCTGATCCCAGCAGTTCTGTAGCAGCTGACGGACAAGAATGGAGTCTAAAAATGTGAAGGGCAGATATAATGCTTCCAATGTGGACACATAATACAGTTTAATGTGGGGTCAGTCCAGGGCAAGTGGAGTTTGCAAATACTGATAGGACCTAAGGGCACAGCCACCAAATTGCCAAGTCACAGTGCCAACTTAGAAGAAACTTAGTGTCCTCTACGTAGCAAAACAGGAGAGTATATACTTCAGGTCTAGCCTACTGCCTCTATTTTGTATGTCTTGCAAACTAAGAATATTGTGTAATGTGTGAAAATATGAAATTTCATAAATATACATTGATAAATAAATAAAACTAAGGGGTGGCAACCACATTCATTAGTTACTACTTTCTCTGGATATGTTCTCGCTGAGAAACTGCAACAGAAATTGTAGGCCCACAAAGCCCAGATGCATCTGGTCCTTTACAGGACAGTCTGTTGTCTCTGTACTAAATGTACATTAGCACAGCAATGCTTCCACCCAAAACAATGTGAACTTTCCACAGAGTTTTTAAGTCTTCAAAAAGACATATATTCTCTCCAGCAACAAGAAGTTAGAGTAGAATTCTTCCAGAATACTAACCAGGCTGATTATACACTGATTCTACCACAATCTCCACTTTTTTTCTAACCTATCTCCTCTATAAACGGGTATAATTTCTTTTAAGGCCTTACCTTCAAAATACCAAGAGTAGGTGAGAATTTGAGCAACTCCTCAATAACATCATTATACCCTTTGTTGGCCGCTTTCAACAATGCTGTTGTGCCATCCTGAACAGAGAGAGGAAAATAAGAGTTGATTAACATGTATTTGTCTTGACTGAGAGTTAAATATCAGTTGAGAACTTGGAGTTCTGCTTGTCAGAAACAGGTAGAACTTGCCATTGAAGCATAAATCAGGAATGTGTTAACCTAGGGGCAGAAGAGAGAGCATGAAGCAGTGATTCTGCATGAAAGGAAGTCACATACACTAGCTGACTGTATTAACTTAGAAACCTGCCATTTGGGAAGTCACAGAGTCCTCCAATCCCTCAGAACACTGGGTTTGGGACAAAGTCCCAGAGCATGTTTTTAGGGTATTAATGGACCCAAGAGGCATGCTCTGCTCTTCATGATTTAACAGAAGTGGCTTAATTGTCCTTAATGATTTATATTATTAATGAACTGTATTTACTGCTTTAAAAATGTATACAATCTTACTTTCATTTGCCTGGATACATTGTATACATTTATTTGCCTGTGTGTGCTGATGGGGGAGGAGAATGATTAGATAGATCTTTCCAAATCTTTGGAGCTTACTTCTTTAGAGTTTCAATGGCTGCATCTGGAGGATTGCTCCTGACCTCTCCTGCAGTCAGTCTGCCCCTTAGGGCTCATTTGGAATGGGAAGGAAGGTGGGATCAGGAGATTTTCGTTTCTGGTTTCAGAGATGGCCAGAAGAAGAAACAAGAAAAGAGGGAAGGGACAGGAACCATATTCAGATTTCCCTCTTCTGGGCTTAGACTTGGCAGGCAAAGGTGGGTGTTTATCTCACGGTATCCACAAGCAGAAAAGTGGATACCGTGAGATAAACAGCAGCAGTCTAGTATGGCCCCCAGAGCCGCCCTCCTTCCTATGGGCCTGCAGCCTGGCAGGCGAGACAGAGTTCAGCTATACCTGCAGAGGCTGAGCATGGATAGCAGGTGCATGGGCCATGTGGTGCAGAGGTCTGCAACTGTAGGGTGCTAGGGTGTGGTACAACAGCCCGCGGTGGGCACTACTTGAACCTACACCATAGGCCCTGCATGTCTCCCTCAGGCCTGACAGCCGGGCCATGTGGTGCAGAGGTCTGCAACTGTAGGGTGCTAGGGTGTGGTACTACTTGAACCTACACCATAGGCCCTGCATGTCTCCCTCAGGCCTGACAGCAAGTAAACCTCAGGCCTCCCCAGTTCCTCCAGAGATCATTTTGGGTGGAGGTGGGAGAGGCCAGAGAGATCTGTGAAGTTTCCACAGAATTGGACTTTGGCTCTGTTTTCCTGCTAAAGAACAGGGGGAGATTTGGAGGAAGCCTAGGAGAACAGTAGATTAAATAAACATTGCTCTGGTGCACACAGCCAGAGTAGGTTGGGTGGCTCCACAAGGTGGCTGCGGCGTTCCTCAGTCACTCACATTTCGTGTTGCATCGCGGTCAGCTCCACGTAGCAACATCACTCGTACCACCTCACTGTGGCCCATCTGGGATGCGATCCATAGGGGTGCAGTTCCATCCTGTGGGAACAGGAGGTAGACAGTGTGACTAGGGGCTCAACCCTGGTTCCTGAACTGTAGGCACACCAGGTCTCTAAAACCAAAAACCCAAGGAAAGATCCACTCTTTAGGTGATCTGGACACCCAAGAGGGATCTGGAGAAGGGGAGGGTATGCTGAACACAGGGACACAATGTCGTTCGGCAGAGCCTGGGCTGCCTCAGTAACTGTTCATGTACAAATTTTCATCTTGTGAAAACAGCACTTTTCTTTGAGACAGGATCTCATGTATTCTAGGCTAGCCTTTAACTTTCTATGTATCTGAGTATGACCAGGAATTTCCCATCTTCTGCCTCCACCTATCAAGTGCTGGGATCATGTGTGTGCACTACCACAGTTCATTCCTTGTTTTATGAGTGCTAAAACAAGCCCAAGACTTCATGTGTGATAGGTAAACACTCTGCCAACTGAGCTACATGCCCCAAAGTCTGGTTCTTTAACTCCTGAGTGTAGAACTTTGGGAAAGGCTCCATGGGGCCTTTACTCAGGGGGCAGCTGAGTTTCACTCAAGGCAGAGCACACTCAACACCAGCAGGGAGACCCCTGTCTCTATTCCCTGCACTCCCCCTTCCCCAGATGATAAATTTCTCTGCTTCCTTGTAGGCCACATTAGGGTGATATGGCACACCCTGACAGCATATTTCCTTGTGGAAGGGGGGCAGTTTCCTTTGAGGTAGTAGGGTCTGAGAGTTACAGAACTCAAGACATATCTCTTAGTTTTCTAGCTGGTGTTCCGAATCACCCATGGCCATATTATGCTTTTAAGGGAATGTAGGTTTATTTTATGTGGAAGGTGATATTGCTTTTTCTAGGAAGGGACACACCCTAACTAGTTAAAGCAGGGCACTTTGGGTAATACTTCCTGTACACTCTTCACCAGCACCCCTTTTCCCTTGAGACTGAGATACACAATGGAGGGGAAGAATTTGACAGTAGGGTGGTTCCTGATGGCAGAACAGAACATGGGAAGCCCCGTAGTGCAGGGAGGATGAGCAATGGAGGGTCTGTACTCGTGTTTTCTCCCTGCTGAGTTGAATCTGGGTATTTGGGGGCACTGGGGTGGGTAAGCTATAGGTAGTAGAAATAGCTAGATAAAATATGGGGATGTTCAGATGGAGAAGGATTTTGTTTTCTTTCTTGGAATGGAGCTCAGGAGAATTACAAGTGCCTTAAAGAAACTCTGCTTTTGGCTAGAGTTGGAGGAGGGAGGGAGGGAGGGAAAGAGAGAGAAAGGAAGAAGGAAGAAGGGGAAGGAGGAGGAAGGAGAAGGAAGAGGAAGGAGAAGAAGCAAAAAAGGGACTGATGGGCTAGGGGACCTAGGAGAGTCCCCCAACCAGTATGGCTCATATCCACCCAGCATCCAAGAGTTTTCTAGGCTTGAGAAATCAGAAGTTCTGGGGCAAACAGTGGCCCGGAGTAAGCCTGAGGCTGGGAAGTCAAGGCCACAGAGAGAAATGTCTTCATTAAGCAGTCAACAGCAGAACCAGTACATATGGCAGACCATAGTGAATCTCTGGGTACCAGTACACGATGCTTGAGGACCAGAGAGGCCAGCACAAAGTTCAGGAAGGAGTCTCCCCAACTTCTCCCCCAGTAGCAGAGTGATAGTCTGATCTCTGAGAACTAGTTCACTTTGGAAAGAAGGACAGGAGAAGAGGGAAAGATTCAGAATTGAATAAACTTAGCCACTGAGGTCATTATGACAATGTATCCCTAAGTGTGTGGCTTACCTATCCATGGGAATGAGGACTTAAGAGCAAGGTGATACTATGATAGAGTATAAAGTTACATTTTTGCTGTAGTGTGTAATTTCAACCCAAGCATACCAGCTAATGCAGGCACAGAAGTACTGTCTATTTCTATCCTGGCAAAGGGACAGAGGATGAAGACTTTTGAGTAGAGTGTCTGAAAATAGCAAATTGGAAGTCCAGGGGGATCTGCAAGTGCTGAGAGGCAGAGATTCTTGGTGCCTCTGTCTTGAGAGGGGTGGAGAGAGATTGAAACAAAGGATGGAGGAAGGCCGAAGATACTTGCACCAGCCTCGTATTTCCTTCACATGGTTCTCAGAGCCTCTTGAATGTGAATATTCTCATTAGTATATCATCATTTGTACTAAAAGTACAAATGAAAAGTACAAACTGGGGCTGGAGAGATAGCTGGGGGGTTAAGAGCACTGGCTGCTCTTACAGAGGACCTAGGTTCAGTTCCCAGAATCCTACAACCATTGGAAACTCTGGTTCCAGGGGATCTGATGCCCTCTTCTGACCTCTGTGGGCACTGCATACATACGACATACATGCAGGCAAAACACTCATGCACTTAAAATTAAAAGTAAAAACTAGCTGGGCATGGTGCATGCCTATAGACCCAGCACTCAGGGGGCAGAGGCAGGTGGATCTCTGTGAGTTCAAGGCCAGCCTGGTCTACATAGTGAGTTCCAGGACAGCTGGGGCTACAGGGAGACCCTGCTTCAAAGACAAAAATAAATAAATAAATAAATAAAGCCGGGCATGGTGGCGCACGCCTTTAATCCCAGCACTCAGGAGGCAGGTGGATCTCTGTGAGTTCAAGGCCAGCCTGGTCTACATAGTGAGTTCCAGGACAGCTGGGGCTACAGGGGAGACCCTGTCTCAAAAAGACCAAAAAAAAAAAATAAAGTAAAAACTAAGGCATTACTTATTATTTATAATATAAACACGTCCACATTTTTCATTTGATTCTCCCAACTGAGGATTTAATCAAGTATTCACCCATTAAACCAATAATTAATTATAAGCACCTTCTATGTCTCAGGCAAAATACTAAAATAAGATATTGCCTCTGTTCTCAAAGGAACTCAGTCTAGAGGGGGAGATAATATCGACATTCTGCATGATTACAATGTTAAAGTATGGGAAAAAATGCACACAGTGAACCAAGAGAGGGACCCCCCTACTCTCTGAGGGTTTGGGGTCAACTTCACAGATGGGTTTATAGTTGAGCTGGGTCTTGAGGGAGGAGCAGGGTTTTGTCAGGGAGCAAAAAAGGCATAGAACACTGGAGATAGCAAGGTAAGCATTTCCAGCCACAGTGGCTTGGACAGGCCTGGTATGGCAGGCAGAGTGAACAATTCCATGGTGGTCATTCACAGGTAAAGGTGGGATCCTGAGATACAGCTGAGGGAGTCTGAGCCCCAGAGACCTAGAATGTTGAAGGTGATCTGGTATTCAACTCAGGGACCAATATATTTCTTCCTTGCCTGCTCTGGGTCTATTTGGTCCTTTGTGGATGCCTCCACCAGAGGGCAGGCAAGGAAGGGAACTGGACTGTCCTAAGTTTCTCAAGGGCTTGACTGTTTTAGTAAAACTGTGGAAACGTGTTGGGATGTCCATACTGGGAACATTATCACGATTTCAGTTTGTAATAGTCATAGTGACTCTCTGACCTTTTACTTTAATTGGAATAGTCATGTTGGGGGAAAAGCAGTCAGCACTTCCTGCCTGTGCGACCTTGGGCAAACACCTCTTGGCCTCAGCATCTTCTGCAAAAGCATTAGCTGTGCAGAATTATTGCTGAATGAGGATGCATAGGTTAAGGCAGTGAGCATGAAGAGTGGGTAATATGCTTGGAAAATGCTTACTGGCTCTGAGTGTTATTACCATGAACAACAATAAGCCTCTTGATTTGTAGTTTTGGTCCATATAACATTTCCACCTGCCTTCTTTAGCTGATGTTCTTGGTGACTCTTAGATAAACGTGTAGGGAGCAGCTCGGACCTACTGACTGGGGAAAGAGATATGGGTCACTTCTGTATGTTATTACTTATTATTACTTCTCCATATTTGCTTTTGGAACCCAGTGAGTTAGAGCATACTGTCAAGTCGAATTATTATCACTGGATTATCTAGTTAGACAGGAGAGTCCTTTCTTTCCACCATGATTTCTGACTTTAATTTTTCTCCTTCTATGTAATGGTCTATGCATTCTTTTTCATAATAAAAATGATAAGAAGCACATAGATTTGGCTCTCTTTTGTGGACTTGTGGAGAGAATCAGACTGGGCAAAGAGATACTTTAAAAACTTAAATTTTTTTTGGTTTATTTATTTTATGAGTATGAGTGTTTTGCCTACATGTATATAAGTTATATAAGTGCACCTGTGTCATGCAATGCCTGTGGAGGTCTGAAGAGGGAGTGGGATCCCCTGGAACTGGAATTACAAATTGTTGTTTGCCACCATGTTGGTGTTGGCAACTGAACCTGGGCCCTCTCAAGAGTAGCCAGTGTTCCTAACCACTGAGCCATCTCTCCAGTCCCTAAAACTTTTAAACATGCTTTTCAACACTTTTGGACAAAATAGTTTTAAAATATATTAAACTGTTTATTAGGCTTTACAGCTGGGTAGGGTTACTGATTGATTTTTCTCCTTTGGAAGCTTGTATAGTATCCTCTGATACCATAAGAGCTAGCCTTCAAGGAGGAGGCTTCTAGGCTGGTAGCAAACTATCGCTGTTGGTGCAGTAGTGGTACTTTTAACTTGTGGGTAATTAATAGCTGTCTAATTGGAATTAAAGGCCGCTCAATGGGAGGGAGCTTACGTGTGGTACTATAAACATAAAATATGCATGGCTGAAAAGGTCACAGATCCTAGAGAAAGCCCTACGTTTGCCACATCTCTAAGTCAAGGTAATTTCTTGTTTTACTCTAAATACACATCCTCATATTTACAGACAAGTGTACCTTTCACCCTACATCAAAGCAGCTTCTTTTTGCAACAAATGGAGACTATTACAGAGTCCCAGAACTGCTCAAAGGCAGAGAATACATGTCTGTGAGACACTTAACCCTAAGTGACACATCTTCAGTGCAACCTCTACACATAAGATGAATGCATCTCTTAACTCTCACTAGAGAAGTTTCCTTATGCAGCAGATGGTGACCAACACAGAAACCCACAATTGGCCAGTATGCAGAGAACAAGAG